TGTATTAATGGCTGCCCTCATGGTGATGTATGAAGGTGACTTTAGTAGTGTATTTGGGGTATTTTACAAGAGTTGCTATGAGGAAAGTTAGGGTAGTGGTCTGTGGTATTATCTGTAATTATGGCCCTCGATTTTAAAGGGAGATATGGTGTTGGTCCAGATGTGGTAAGTAGGGAAACACTAGTCTCTGTAACTCTTGTTGTTAGGTTTTGTTTACTGTTGTAGCAAACAGCAGTTACTCATTGTGTTTGTGAATTCAGTAAACGTGTGGGTCCGGTCTTGCAGTAGATCTTATATTGAAGTCACCTGAGAGTAGTAAGTGATCTTTGTTCATGCGTGCATCAGTTATCATACTCCTAGGTTTTGACTAAATTGGTAATGTTTGATTGTGGAACTCTGTAGATGTTTATCACTGTGAGAGGTTTTTGTAGGTATTTGGGATTTGAATTTAGCTTTATATAGTACCATGATTCATCCTTGTGCAAGTATTAGTGATACTTTTCTAGTTGGTCTGAGTAGTAATATAGCAGTGCCACCCCTTGTTGGTCGGACCTACAGTTGTGTATGCTTGTGTAACAAAGGAATGTCATAGACATTCTGTAGTATCGGCTTTAGCCAGGTTTCAGTTAGTGTTATGATGGACATATTGGCATGCAAGGAATTTTAGTAATGCTAGGAGGTTCATTCAGAATGCTTGATGCTTAAAGATCTGATATTGTAGTTATGACAGTTATGTTGTTGTTGGCACTGAGAAGTGCCTTTGATTGTTTCTGCAGTGTAGTAATTAAAGTAAACTGTTTTGAATCATTTAAGTCATTAATTAAGAGGTTGGTATCAGGATCAATGCTTTGTAATCATATGATTTGTAGTGAATTATAGTTAGAATTAAGTAAAAAATAAAGTAAATAGTCTTAAGCTAAAAAAAAAAATAGCACCTGAAATATATTAACAAATGTAAAAAAAATAATGAGCTAAGGTAGTTTTTTAAAGACTATCAATAAGGAGACCAATATAAAAAGGACTAAAATAATTTGTGCGTGAACAAATAAAATGATGATCAATAATGGAGCTTTGGGGAAATATGATTGTAGGTCTAGTACTTTAAAGGTAATTCTTTAAAAGTATAGAATTATATATAAAATTTAATATAAAGGGACTAATATAAGGTTGTGCGTGAACAATAAAGTGGGTAATCAAATAATTGCAATAAGGTTAATATAATGACTTTTTTGGGATAGTCTATGTTTTGAGCTAGAATTAGCTTAGTCCATAGATTTAATTAATAAATATAAAATACAATAATTAAAAATAGCACAACGTATATCACTAGTAATTGCAATCTGTTAATATATTGAATTTGGTATTGACTTTAGTACAATGAGTTAATAATTAATAATATAAAAAAGAGCACAAGACTCTCAATTGTAATTGCACTTAGGTCTTATATAAGGTTGTTTTTCAGAAGAATTAGAGTTTAACTAGATTTAAATTGACAAGAATAAAAATATACAAGTTAAGGTAGCAAAAGAATAAAAACGTAGAAAAAATAAAATATCATGAGGTAGTTTGGTACTAGTTAGCAAAGATAGTTAAGGGCCTTGAAAACAATAATGGAGATAATTGAAATATACTCTAATGCACATCAAAATATAGTCACTAAGATATGAAAACATTCTTAGAGTAGGAATTTTAATATGAACTTATAATATAAAAATAACAAATTGAAATGGTACTTGCAATTGCACTAGAGTCTGGTATAGGTTGTTGACAAGATTCAAGAGTATAACTAGATTGTAAATTGACAAAATAAATTCACAATTAAAAGTTCAAAAGGTAATAGTTAATTAATAACAAATGGTAATGTCTTGGTTATAATATGATAGTAAGATGGTTACAACAGGTACACAGGTCAAGGGGATAATATAAAGGTTGGAGTTGAATATACAAACTTTGAAAATTTGGCAACAAAATATTATGGGAAGTATAAAAATAATGTTTATTGTACAAAAGTAAAATTGGACTGGTTGTAAATCTGGTGTTTAATAAAATTTTAGTAAGTGTTATTGATAACAAAAAAGTGAAAAGTAAAGTTTATTTCATTCAATATTGCACTGGTAGTTATACTAGAGGTTATCTGGCAGCCACCAAGTAATTTAAGCGTACTTAAGATAGTAAATGTGGTATTAAAAAAGGTAAAGAGTAATCTAGACAAGAATTGGTTATTAACATGTCAAAAATGTTAAGAGTAAATGAAATTATGTAAAAATGATAATTATTATTTTTGTAAGTAATTTCAATTGATAGTATTTAAAAATATGAGGTAATAATATGGACAGAGAAAGTATCAATTCAGTAATGTTTAACCCTTTCAGGGTCAAAGCCCAAATCTTGGAGTCACGCACCAGTGTCCAGAATTTTCAAAAAAAAAAATTTGTTATTTTTTCTTATGAAGTAGTAGAGAATCTTTTTGATGAAGGTAATAAAAACAAAAAGTACGAAATTTGGTGGGGAAAATTGATGATAATTATGCTCTCGAGAATTTTGATGTTGTCAGCGTATATTTACGAATCGGACGATTTTGACGACTTTGACTCCTTTTTTAGGCCAATTACATATTCCAATCAACCAAATTCTTAGTATTTCAATAGTATTACTTGTTATATCGATTGAGCACAAGAAATCGCCAAGTCAATTGTTTCAACTACAAAATTAAAGTGATCGGAAATTGTTATTTTGCCAATTTAAACACAAGGTTCAAAATATTCAATTTCAAAATTGGGTCCAGGAAATAAACTATGTAGGCATTCCTGGCACTAATCTATCATTTTCCTCTGTTCATTAGTTATGTTTTTGAGGCTTTACAAATAAATTCACCATTTTGATTTTTTATTCACATAATGAATTTTTATTCACACCAAAAAATAGAAGAGTTACTGTTATGCAATACTGTAAATATTTGTATAAATAACTTTACCATATTTGGTGAATGTTTATTTGACCCCCAGTGCGTGTTTAGATGTGTGAGTCGTTTTGTTTACTCTCTGAATATCGGCAAAAATTTAACATTTCGCTACTTTGAGGCTCAGTTTCAAGGCCATTTCCAGTGCTAAAACCAATCAAAATCATCTCTTTTTCTGTAATATGTCTTCCATTCTATCAAACGAGACCAAGAAATCGCAAATACAACTATAAAAAACATACGAAAAAACACTGCAAAGTTGCTGTTTTAATCGAAAAATCATGATTTCAGTTTTTTTCTCTCATTATACACAGTGTGCTGCAGGATCTGTTTTATGTGGTGCACACATACCACATAGATGTATTCTCTCATATCTAGGCCCAAATGTACCACTCACAGTTTATCAGAGTGAGCTGAGCTCATGGCGTAGATCTACGGTTTGGACACTCACCGTAAAGCCGTAGATCTACGGGACGGACCCTGAAAGGGTTAAGCGAACAATAGTAAATAAGAAAATTACATAAGGTGACTCATGCTTACTAGTAAAATCACAAAATGAGGTAGTTGATTATTTAATTACTAAGAGATTGTACAATGAAATTTGAACAATAATGGAGCAAAACATACACTACACTACGTAGGCTTTTAAGTTGGACATTGTTTAGTTATTCTCTGTAAGATTAGTATCCCTGAGAAATCGTGATAGATCATTCTTGTTCGTTATTGTGTACAGTTGACCTACATTTGTTTTCCTACAAGATTTGTGCATGTTTTTGTAATAAACAACAGTGGTGAACAATAATATGATAATAACTTTAGTGCGGTTATTGTGTTCAATATAGTGAGTTTATATATATACATTATATACAGTATTGGTCTCTCAGGCCCCAAATGTTAGTAGGAAAAGAAAAAAATTGGAAAAGAAAAGAAAAAACTACAAAAACTGCTAAATAAAGTAATGCGTGTATGTGGAATTCGTCGATGTTTTCGCCACCACATCATTTTTGACAAACTTCTCTGCACTGTATCTCGGTAAGTACTGATCAGAATTTTTTTTTTTGTCTTATTACCTTCACAAAAATATGCTCTTTAATTCAGTAAGAAAAAATAATTTTTTTTTTTTTTTTTTCAAAATTTCTTGGACACTGGAGCACCACTTCAGATTTTGGCCTTGGACCCTGAAGGGGTTAATAAAGGGGAGTAAATTCTTGGATAGCTTTGGGTAGTGGTGGTTTTGGTAAGGACTTACCTTGTATGGGCCAGTAGGCCTTCTGCAGTGTTCCTTCATTCTATTTACTAATGTGCAAGTCCCACTCAAATCCAGAGTGATTGCTTAGACAGAAACCTACATTAATGAGACAGATGACACTTGAAGTCTTTAAAAATGCCGTCTGTCATAGTGCTGCTTCATCACTTGAGAATCATGTAAATAAACCATAGTAGTATTTGTAGTCTTTATTTATCCCACTTAGTGTGAGTACTCATACGTTTTTGCCGCAGTGTTAATGTTTAATTATGGGGCGCTGCCCTAGACCCCACCTTCTTTCTGAAATTCGAAAAATTCTAAAGTTTGAGACACTGCTGACCCCAAGGGTTTCAGATAAAGGTATAGGGACTGTAGTAATGGACCTCAGAAACTCTGCTTTGTCTTGCCACAATAGTAATGGCATGCAACTATTGCAAATGAAAAGGTAAATTTAAATCACATAATGTTGTAAATGTGAGCAATGATGGTGTAACTGATGAGGGTTTACCATGTATAGTGAATCTATATTTCATGTACTATTTAATTACTGATGGATATAAGATATTTCATAATAGTATGTACACATAAGGCAAAGTAAACCTGTGTTGCTATTAGTCATTTTGGAACATAGTTTTCTTCTTTTTCTATATCCGTATGTTCTTGTGATGCTGTCCATATGATGGAATAATAGTGCACTATAGGCTAGCTCTTTCTGTGGCAAAAGGTTAATATTTTTAATTATTTGTTACTTTGCTAAATTATGAGAATTGTACATTTTGCATTTTTTTTTTCTAGCAGGTGGAGAGTAGGAGCAGCCACAAGGATACACAAGTTCTGCTGAAAGTGTCAGAGTTAATTATAATTCTTCTACTGCATATTTCTGACCACAGGTAAATGTTTCATATATCTGTAGTTTGAGTTTTTATTTTTTAGTCCTAATAGTAGTGTATTTTTTTTTTTTTAAACAGTCGGCCGTCTCCCACCGAGGCATGGATGACCCAAAAAGAAAGAAAATCACCAAAAAGAAAATGATCTCATCATCATTCAACACTTTCACCTCACACATAATCACTGTTTTTGAGAGTGCTCAGAACATAACAGCTTAAAAGCATATACCTGTCAAAATTACACAACATATCCCTCCAACTGCTAATATCCCGAACCCCTCCTTTAGAGTGCAGGCATTACTTCCATTTCAGGACTCAATTCCAGCTATATAAAAATATGGTTCCTCAATCCCTTCACAAATATTACCTGCTCATACTCCAACGATCATCAGTTCCCAAATCCCATTGTCTCATTCACTCCTATCTAACACACTCACGAAACGCTGCTGGAAGTCCAAGTCCTCCCCCAAACAAAACCCCTTTACCCCTCCCCAAAACCTTTCGAGGATGTCCTTCCCCGCTTCCCTTTCCCCTAAGATTTTACGCCTCCATGTCTTTCAAACTCTGATTCATTCTCTCAAATGACCAAACCACCTAAAACAACCCCTCTTCAGCCCTCGCTAATACTTTTATTAATCCACATTTTCCTAATTTCCACACTCTTAATTTTGCAAATTTTACACACACATTGCCTTAGACAGAACAACTCCACGCCCCAAACCCTCCTCCGCTGCTTCAAACCCAAGCTTCAACCCATATAAGAGTGTTGGTATTTACTATACTTTCAAAACATTCCCTTCTTTGCCCCATAGATAACATTTTTGTTTCAATATACCTCAACGCACCATTCACCTTTTTTCCTCACTTTCTATGATTAACCTCATCCTTCATAAATCACCGCCGAAAACGTCCAACTCCAAAGTATTAAAAAACATTCACTTTTCCTTTACTCCTCCCCAAAAATTTTGTATCCAATTTTTTTTACTAATATTTGTACCATCACCTTACCTTTCTATTTTCACTTCCTTCTACTTTTATTACCCCAAACTCATCCAATTCCTTTGCAATTTTCCCTTAGAATCTCCCATGAGCACAGTATCATCAGCAAAGCAACTTTTCAATCCCATTTTGTATTTGATTCCCCAAAATTTTTCCACCCCTCTCCAACACCCTGATTTACTTCTTTTAAGATCCCATTAAATATTTAAACAACCCATGGTGACATTACACTTTCCTGTCTAAGACCTTTTTGGGAAAGTAGCCCTTTTTTTACACACCAAACCTGGGGCCTCACTATTCTATAAAAAACTTTACAGCTTTATTTGCTTACCACTTATTCCTTTAATTGCAACTCTGCCACATTGGGCTCCCCTATCCACTCTATCTATGCTTTTCTACTCCATAAATGCAATAAAAACTTTCCTACCTTTTTTCTAATACTTTTTCAATATATGCCTCAATGTAAAACTTGAATTCACATCCCTACCACTTCAAAACCTCCTTGCTCATCCACATTCTAATTCTGTTTACCTCTATTCTTTAAATTATACCCTACATTACATTTTTTCCTGGTATTACTCTTAAACTTTTTCCCCTTTTAATTTTTACAATCTCTTTCTTTTCCCCTTCCTTTATATAAAGGACTATTAAACGCTCTCTGCAATCCTAGGACCTTCCCCTCTTTCATACTTTTTTTTTTTTTTTTTTTTTCAAGTGGGCCCGTCTCCCCCGGGCCCCCAGGCAGGGTGACCCCAAAAAAAAGAAAGAAAAATCCCCAAAAAAAAACTTTTATCATCATTCAACACTTTCACCACACTCGCACATTATCACTGTTTTTGCAGAGGTGCTCAGAATACAACAGTCTAGAAGCATACACATATAAAGATACACAACATAATCCCCCAAACTGCCAATATCCAAACCCCCCCTTTAAAGTGCAGGCATTTACTTCCCCTTTCCAGGGACTCAAGTCCCGCTATATGAAAAATACCGGTTTCCCTGATCCCTTCACTAAATATTACCCTGCTCACACTCCAAAAAGATCGTCAGGTCCCAAGTACCCTTCGTCTCCATTCACTCCTATCTAACACGCTCACGCACGCTTGCTGGAAGTCCAAGCCCCTTGCCCACAAAACCTCCTTTACCCCTCTCTCCAACCCTTTCGAGGAGACCCCTACCCCGCCTTCCTTCCCCCCTTTTAGATTATATGCTTTTCCCTGTCAAATTTTACTTTGATCCATTCTCTCTAAATGACCAAACCACCTCAACAACCCCCCTTCTGCCCTCTGACTAAATACTTTTAAATCCACACCTTCTCCTAATTTCCACACTCCGAATTTCTGCCATAATATTTAAACCCAACCACATTGCCCTTAACAGGACATCTCCACTTCCTCCAACCGTCCCTCGCTGTGCATTTACCACCAGTTCACACCCATATTAAGATGTTGGTACACTATACTTCATAATTCCTTCTTTGCCTCCATAGATAACGTTTTTTATCCACATATACCTCAATGCACCCCTCAAACCCTTTTTCCTCATCAATTCTATGATTAACCCCATCCTTCATAATCCATCGCCGACACGTCAAACCCCAAATATCTGAAAACATTCACTTCTTCCATACTCCTCCTCCCCAATTTGATATCCGATTTTTCTTTATCTAATCATTTGACACCTCATCACCTTACTCTTTTCTATGTTCACTTTCAACTTTCTACCTTTACACACATTCCCCTACTCATCCCCTAACCTTTGCCAATTTTTCTTTAGAATTCCCATAAGCACAGTATCATCAGCAAAAAGTAACTGTGTCAATTCCCATTTTGAATTTGATTCCCCAAAATTTAATCCCCCCCCTCTCCCGAAACACCCTTGCATTTTACTTTTCTTTTACAGCACCATCTATAAATATATTAAACAACATGGTGACATTACCATACCTGTCTAAGAATACTTTGCGGGAAGTAGTCTCCTCTCTTCTACACACTAACCTGGAGCCTCACTATCCTCATAAAAATCTTTACAGCATTTAATACTTACCACCTTTCCTTATTTCTTGCAACATCTGCCACATTTCTCTTTCACTTTTCATATGCCTTTTCTTAAATCCATAAATGCAATAAAAACTTTCCCTATCTTACTAAATACGTCACATATATGCTTCATGAAACACCTGTCACACATCCCTACCCACTCTGAAACCTCCTTGCTCATCCCCAATCCCACATTCTGTCTTACTCTAATTCTTTCAATTAAACCAACCGTACACTTTTCCGGGTATACTCAGTAAGCTTATTCCTCTATAATTTTTACAGCCCTTTTTGCCCCCTTTCCCTTTTATTAAAGGGAAAATTTACATCTCTCTGCCAATCCTAAGTACCTTCCCTCTTTCATACATTTATTAAACAAAAGTACCAACCACTCCAACACTAATCCCCCCTGCTTTTAACATTTCTGTCTGATCCCATCAGTTCCAGACTCTTTACCCCTTTCATTTTAGTAATGCCTCACGTACTCCCCACACTTACATTCTGCTCTTCTTCACTCCTAAAAGATGGTATACCTCCTGACCAGTGCATGAAATTACTGCCTCTGTTTCTTCCTTAACATTTAAAGTCCTCAAATATTCTCGCCCTCTACCCAATTTCCTCCATTCCCCATCTACTAACTCCCTACTCTGTTTTTAACTGACAAATCCATATTTTCCCCAGGCTTTCTTAACTTGTTTAACTCACTCCAAATTTTTTTTATTTTCATACATTTATACATTTATTAAACAAAAATATCAACCACTCCAACACTGTCCCCCGCCCTCCTGCTTTTAAACATTTCTGTCATGGGGCTCGTCAGTTCCAGCTGCTTTACCCCCTTTCATTCTATGTAATGCCTACCACACCTCCCCCACACTCACATCCTGCTCTTCTTCACTCCTAAAAATTGGTATTACCTCCCTGGCCAGTGCATGATATTACCGTCTCCCTTTCTTCGTCGATATTTAAATGTTCCTCAAAATATTCTCGCCATCTCCCAAAACATCCATCTCCCCATCTACTAACTCCCTACCCTTTTTTTTAACTGATAAATCTATTTTGTTCTCTAGCCTTTCTTAAATTGTTAACTCCAAAAAATTTTATTTTTTTCTTTAAATTTCTTGACAGTGCATCTCCCCCTCATCATCTGCTCTCCTTTTGCACTCTCTCACCACTCTCTTCACCTTTCTTTTACTCTCCATTTACTCTATCTTCTTATAAAACTTCTGCTTTGTAAAAAACCTCTCATAAGCTAACTTTTTCTCTTTTATCACACCTTACTTCTTCATTCCACCAATCACTCCTCATTCCTCCTGAACCCACTTCCCCTTTATAACCACAAACTTCTGCCCACTTTCTAATACTAAATTTTTAAAACTATTCCAACCCTCTTCAAACACCCCCCCCCCCTTCACTACTCATACTTGCACCAGCCCACCTTTCTGCAATAGTTGCTTATATCTCACCTGAACTTCCTCCTCCCTTAGTTTATACACTTTCACCTCTCTCTTACTTGTTGTTGCCATTTTCCTCTTTTCCCATGTACCTCTTACTCTAACTGTAGATTTTTTTTTTTTTTTTTTTATCACACTGGCCGATTCCCACCAAGGCAGGGGTGGCCCGACAAAGAAAAACTTTCACCATCATTCACTCCATCACTGTCTTGCCAGAAGGGTGCTTTACACTACAGTTTTTAAACTGCAACATTAACACCCCTCCTTCAGAGTGCAGGCACTGTACTTCCCATCTCCAGAACTCAAGTCCGGCCTGCCGGTTTCCTGAACCCCTTCATAAATGTTACTTTGCTCACACTCCAACAGCACGTCAAGTATTAAAAACCATTTGTCTCCATTCACTCCTATCAAACACGCTCACGCATGCCTGCTGGAAGTCCAAGCCCCTCGCACACACAAAACCTCCTTTTACCCCCTCCCTCCAACCTTCCTAGGCCGACCCCTACCCCGCCTT